TGATAGAAAAAAAAGACAAAAAAAAAAAAAAGAGCGCCAAACGTCCCACAGGTGGGACTTAAAGGGGTAAATTAGTATACACAATAAGAACTTGGATATATGGAAAGATGTAATCAAATCAAAGTTAAACTGACAAAATTTAGCACCTATATTTGTTCATGTCAACTTTTGTTTTCTTTCAGCACATGATTGTTAATCTGGCTATTGGACTGACATCTCTGTTAGTTCTAGTGAGTATTAGTGACTACACACACACACACACACGTTTAGTTAGCTAAATGGGGACCTTGCATAGACTTCTAGTGTTTTTGTATACAACTAGTACTAACCCAACCCACACTCTTTTTACAATTGAAAAAAAAAAAGACTGATCACTTCCATCCAACTGCAACTTACTAGTTGTACCTGAAATTTTTTTTTTTTTTTTACACCTCCTCTCCTTAGTTAGTTTTATACTGCTTTCTGTTTGTCAGGTAACTGTCATCAGTTCGTTTGTCTTTCCTACACCTCCTCCGACAGCATTGAATATCTTCTTTGTAGTCTGCATCATCATGATCTGTTCTTCTGTATTGGTGATGGTTAGTCCTGTATATAAAATTTCTATCTATGATCTTTATGGGCTGATTCCCCCCCCCCTCTTTCATAAGCATTAATTTGGACCAAAATCTTTATCTTTTTATAATTTGTGTCAAATCATGGGAGTTTTCTACTGTACTGTCCTACATGGTCACAATGCTCTAACACAGTGATTCTCAATTTCAGTCCTGGGGTACCACTGCTCTGCACATTTTGTATGTCTCTCTCTCTCTCGGTTCAGTTCATGGATCTCCCTCCTAACGAACTGATGATCTGAATCATGTGAGTTAAATAAGGAACACATACAAAATGTGCAGAGCAGTGGTACCTCAGGACTGGAATTGAGAACCACTGCTCTAACATGATGTTTGATTCTTTGGGGTGATTTTTTGTAGTGTTTATACCTGTATATACAGTATAAATTATGTATATTATTTATTAAAAACAGTTTCTCTGTTTTTTTGTTGTTGCAGATATTCTGGTATCGTCAAGGAGATCTGGATCCAAAGTTTCGTGGTCTGATTTATTATTCCATAGGTCTCATTATCCTTCTTTGTCTGTGCGCCAATCTGTACTTCCATGATGTCGGAAGATGACATGATTCAGACACACCACTTGAATTGGGCACCTTCATAATTTTGTCAAGCACAATAAAAAGCGATCTATTTGTCAGAAGTGAGCCTCACAGTTTTGATTATGTGTGCACAGGTGATAAGATGCTTGTTCAAATCTATTAGTTTTTTTAAAATATTTGGACGGTATACCTTTTGTAATTTATGTCAAAGCTGAATATTTATACGCTGAATATTTTTGTACATTATTTTCGTTTGCTGTCAAGAGTCAGTCTTGCTAAATGCAGCAGTATTTCAGTTAGTTGTATTAAATATTGTGATTTTTGTTCTGTGAACAATACCGGTGCCAAAGTTCTGAACACTGGCAATAAATAAAATAATATACATGTACTATGGAAGTGAAATATTTTATGGGTTGGAGACCATGATGACTATTGTAGTGAGTCTGGATTCTCTCTTCATGGAAAATAATTAAGATCAAATTTAACATGCAATAATCTGTTTTAGACATACATACAATGCACTATTATTGGAAAGTTTACACATAACATGGTCTTTTTTTTCAGTATCAAGATTTTAAGTTAATAATTATTTGAATGTTTAAGAAAAGTTATGTTTAAATACGTTCCACATTGTAATTTCTTTGAAAGGACTGCCATCTTGTGGTGTGCATCTGAATAACAATTACAAATAACCCTTCGGATTATTTTATTAGTGAATATAAAAGCAGTGTTCTGAATGGTCATTGTCCGTATTCTAATATATTACAGATAGTATTATGTTTATGACACTACAGTGGTTAATTATACAAATCATTTGATGGTCACCCTCCCTCAAAGTATAATAAATTAAAGCTGTTGAGTAGATATGTAGGCTACTATAATTAAGGCTATTCGTTTTGGGCCTAATTTGGGTAGCACCGTTGTGACGTCATTTCTAAGACTTCAAAGCGGCTTCGTCAGATGACGTTCTATGTTGACGTCGCTCGCTGATATGATGGGACGGTCCCGTTAATCCCTTCGGCAAGCGATGGAGCGCACGAGGAGAACCATTGTCTGCTACCGAAGCCGTTTTATGCTAAATTATACGGCGTGGATATGTTGCGTTTTCATCGTGAACGCGTCCGCAGCATCTGCCGCTCACCTGCGCCAGTGTAAAGAGGTGAGAGATCATTCCCGCTGATGTTTCTGCGTTCATAGTCAGCGTTCTTTGCGTTAAACACTCGTCCAGTTCATATATCTGTTTTTTTTGCACACGCCGGCTTGTTTTTAAAGCATCTGTGGTTGTTTGACATACATTTATTTGCACTTTTGGGATCAATTTCTTTACTAACACGTGCAGCAAGATGATGTAGGTTGTCACACCTTACAATAACCAAAGTAACAGGTGCGTCAGATACTCTACACGGATTGAATAGCCGTAACCAATGAGAAGTAGGCTGTCTGAATACAGTAAAAGCTGGTTTATAGAAACGTTTAGAATAGATGCTTTAACATGTAACAATAAAAGGAATCAGACTGTCACACTGACAAATCCCTCTGAAGAACATCTAAACATCCGTTTACAAACGACAGTTCTGCAAAAGGCTTCCTGAGGAGCCTCAAATCGTGTCTCTGGAAGCTTAGAAGTGCTTAATGTAAGTCATAAGTTCTTACAAGAACTGAAAATTCTGTCAGTTGTTCCTTCAGTAACCCTGTCATGAGGGAAAGGACATTTGAGGCTCTGAATATATATTTAGATTCTTTGAATGAAATCAGATTTTTAGGCACTTTTAGTGCTTACAGTATTATAGTTTATTTGTTTCCTGTATCAGATGTTTGGCTTTTTTTTATACTAATGTATCTTGAGCTTTTCAGATGCATATTGATTAAGAAGCTGTTATGCTTTTTGTCTCGGTATGTATATTGATTGGTGTCAGATTGCTTTTTGGGATGGGCATCCCATTTTAAATATGCATTTGTCCAGGTTAGAATCCAGCCAGGCTGTGTGCTTTGTCTAATGTTATGGTAATGGATGAATAAGGTTCCAGTGGAGTGCTAAGCGGAGTTTTTCACAGAGATGGTCAGCCCTGCGTGCCCATCTCAAGAGCCTGGTGATATGATGCTAAGAATAGCCTTACTGAAACCACGTTCACCGAGAGTTCAGCACCTCCTCTGGCCTTTGTGCATGGAGAAACTGTGACTTAAAATCCCTGTGTGTCCCGTAAACTAAAAGATTGACTGCAGTTCTTGGCTATGAATATGGAACAATAGTGCAGATTTGGAACTATTTGGCTTATGCATTCATAAAAATCAGATGGTAATTGTACACAGTTCTCTCAAGCCGCATTAATTATTTACATTATCTGGTAAAGCCTGGCATATCAAATATATCACGTGTTTGCTTTAAAAAAAAATCATATTTGACACATCAGGCTTTTATGGCTTATATAATATTAAATAGGAGAATACTCGGAGTAAAACACTAAATTTTTATTTAGAGGCTCAAATTGAGCAAAACTATGCAATTTGATAAATATGCAATTGAGATCTTAAAAACGGTATAGCAGGCTATTTACATAGATATAAATATCAGTTGTCACCCTATATCTGTCAATGTCTTAATATGATATTTAAATACGTTAGTTTTATGATCAAAGCTCTGTAGTTTTTATTATGGGGAGCAAAACACATAATGCAATACAAAGATGATTGAAAGTTGAACAAATAAAGGTTCCTCAAAAGCCTGATGTATCATATTTGATGCTCACATTTTAACATAATTTTCAACAACAAAAAAAAGTGGCTGTACAAAATACATTGATTTTACTACATGATTTTAGTGTGTTGTCTTGCATTGTGTCATTATAGCCATCAGTGGCACATTACCGTATCTGTGGTAATGGACTAGGGGT